ATAAGACGAACGAGGCTTAATATGTATTACTAGCTGAAGCCCGCAAAACATTTGTGATTTACATTTTTATTGCAAAAGTATTTCTTTAAATACAGGATTTTTCGTTATCCTTTGACGAAATACTTAACAGAATCTAAACTTCTCACCCTCAAAGGCTATATAAAGCTGTCCATGTGTAAAGACAGGCTTAGGAATATAAATACATATTTTGTCAAGTCTGACCTTGTGACTTTTTTTAGTCATAGAGTAAGAGGACTTTTGTACATGTGACTGAAGGCCTTTGTACTTGTGAGGAAATTGCCCCTTTTAGTGGTTCAATTGCCTTTTTTTAACAACGTAATTGTGTAACAATGTATGCGTCTGTCAGCATGTTATGATTAAATTTCATAACAGTGTACACGTTTGGTGGCGTATTCTAATTTAAATTACTTTTTTACGTAGGAAACTAAAATACATCCCATGAATTTTAGGTTATTATGTAACAAATTACAGCAATATTCCTCAATTGTACAAAGGCCCTATCCAGAGAAGGCAGCAGAGATGGCGCAGCAGACAGGGCGCTGGAAGCCCGGGCATGCTCAGGGAAGCTTGGGCTTGATGGGCTTCCAGTGCCCTGTGCACTGTCCCTACTGCTTTCTCTGGCTGCAAGCACACCCCGCCACCCTCCTACTACCTTCCTGGGGCAGCCAGTCTGTTTCTGGGTGGTCCAAGGTGAGGGGTATGGTATATGGGATGCTGGAAGCCCATCAAGCCCTAGCTTACCCAAGCATGTCTGGGCTTCCAGTGTCCCATGCACCACTGGATTTGCCATATGCTGCCTGTGAGCTGGGGCTGTACCTGTGCACCTAGCACGCCACCCAGGTGGCCCTGGAGGGCACTGCCACCACAGAAGGAAGTACCAGGAACCCCCATAGCTCAGAAGGAACCCCCACAGCTCAGGGGCTGCTCAACCTGGCAGTAGCTGGCCTGGACAGGCTTGGCCAAGGCGGGGAACCTGGTGAGGGGCCTGATTTTAATTCTAGAGCCTACCTGCATCTCCTGCAGCCAGGGAGTGAGCTGCTGGGGGTCACACAGTTCCAGGGTTCTCCACAGATCAGGTGCTTCCCTTTGTAGGGGCTGGTTCCGGGGGGCACTGCCACCATGGAGGGAAGCACCGGGGCCAGGACCATCCCTGGGGGGGAGGGGTAAATCAGGGTGACTGCCCCGGGCCCTGTGTTTTGGGGGGCCCCACGGACAGTGCCATACAGACCCTGCTGCAGCTGCTGCATGCCACTGGTTCTGCGCTTTGAACACAGGTTGATATGCCTCAGGCCTCACATACCCCTAGGGATAGGCCTGACTGGGCCTCCTGCAGCTCAGAGCCTGCTGGCAGCTCACCTCCCAGCTTCTTATTCTGCCTGTCTGGAGCACTCTGCTTGGTTGTTTCAGTAAGCATTATGATTGGCTTCTGAGACAACCAAGCAGAGTGCTCTGGACAGCCAGAATGACCTATTATTAGACTAGATGTTATTCTATGTCATGCATCCCTCTCTCGGGAATAAAAGCTCTCATAATGATATTTAACTGCTGATTTCAATTGACTTCTTTGTGTGTACCTTTTTTAATTGCTGTGCTTCTTAGATAGTTGTGGACAAATTTCTTCAAGTTCAGAGGTTTGGAAAAGCTGGCATTTCTCCAGGAGGATGATGGGAATAAGATGGATAGCCTGAGAGCACCAGGAGGAAGGAAATTAAGAATGGCCATTTTTTTCTATCTTTAAGAGTCCCAGCTGAAAGAAACAAGAATAGAGACAAGCTTTCACTTTTCCCCTATGCAAGTTGCCAATCCAAAATTTTTTTTTTACTGATATTATGTAAACCTTTTACTGACAGTCAATTTTTTTTTTACTGATACCTGTTTTTACTACTATATTTTACATCATGTAAATTGAATTCTTCTGCCAGGCCCTGACCTGTTGGCAGGTCTCAGTTAGAAGGGCTGGTTTGAATGTAGGCAACACCAAGCATAGTGAAAATATAAAAGTGTGGTTGTCAGTAAAAAGCTTCCAGTAAAAAAAGCAGTTTCTTGGGTTGGCAATTCTCCCCCATAGATTCTCTGGGCTGTGTGGAGGCATTTGAACTCTCTCATAAAAATGGATTGTGTTTACATGTAATAAACACACATGTACAATATACATTAATTTAATAAACATGATTAGAGATTGAACCATAATGTCACTAAACTGGATTAAAATGGATTGTGTAAGTATGTGCAAGTACACATCTAAATAATACTCGGTGCATAAAATATCAAATACTAGATTTGATTAAAATTGCTTCTATTTCAGTTAATTTGAAGTACATATTATAATGTATTTCTTTTATGTGGTGATAATATATAAATTATATATGTATAGATATGCATACACAACCCATTTTGCTTTTGATCACATATAAAAGCATATACTTATGTATGAATGTGTATGTGCATATACTATATTGCACAGGTATTATTAATACCTCTAAATATCTCTTTGGAGGCCACCAGTAATTTAATTGGTATTTAAAGTTCTATATCTCGAACCTATCTAGTGTTAGAGAGATGCTGTAGCCATGACAGTCCAGGAAATATGCAAGAGGCAAGGATATTATGGAGGGTAATATTTCTTCTCTTCCTCTCCACACTCAAATACCCAGAAACCTTTCTGCCACCGTTTTGACCTAGTCTTTTGAACTTCACAATATGGCCTGTGCATCATTGAATCAACCTTGGCTTCTCTGGTCTGTCACAGGCTTCTTACCCACACTGATACATTATTTTGGCCTTCATTACTGTAGATAAACTAATCAGTTGCCTTCTCTGTTATTTGCACTGTGCCAGGTTTGTTTGCACTTGGTGCAGCTAGCACAAAACCTTTTCAGTGCATGGAAATTTCATTGAAGTATATGCAACCCTCGCCACAGCCACATCCAGATTCAGGGTCCTGGGGTGTCAAATAGTCTCAGTCAACCTCCCAGCCCCTCAGGCTGGGGCCACCTCTCCATGGAGTGCTTTCTTGTGCTTTCCACACTCACTGGAGTACATGCAGTCTAACTATTTACAGTTTATTATTTGCAAAACAGTCAACATATGAATAAGGTTAATAGCAGAACAGGATATCAATAATCTAATTGTCAAAGCCAGGTACTGATGAACTAAAACATTCTACAAACTGAATCAAAGACGCCCTCAGTACAACTCTCCAGCTTAAACCTTGAGACTCCAGTGAATTTCAGCAAGAGCACACAGGGTTAACAAGACGTCAGCTCTCCTTTACATTAGCAACACTAGTAACACTGGCTGGGGCGGGCCCCCCCCCCGCTC